ATACGAACATATATAGATAAATTTAACATTTGTATCGTTTTATATGTTAAAAACATTAGTATCACCCTGTGTCGCTGTTATCTGACAGTTTTGTATAGAATTGTTTATTAAGACAACAAACAAGCCGCATTCAAAAGTAAATATAAAATGCGGGAAAGACGCGAGCGTGACCGAGAGCGGGAAAGAGATCGTGAACGTGACCGCGATCGGGATAGGGATAGGGAACGAGAACGCGAGCGGGACAGGAACCGCGAACGAGATAGAGAACGGTACCGCTCCAAATCTAAATCTCCTTCTCGCAGCAATAGAAATAGATCTAAATCAAAGAAGAAAAAGTCCAAAAAATCTAAGAAGTATTACAGACGCAGTCGCAGCAGCAGCCGCAGCTCATCGCGTAGCACGACTCCTCACAGTTCCCGCAGTAGCTCTCGAAGTCGACACAGTAAGGGTAGGGACAACGATACTCGAAAATCGAAATCTAGATCCGTATCACAGCGCAAAACTCGAGCACCCAGCTCTGACAATTCCATACGCCCGGCCACCACCTCCACGGCAGCTGTCAAAGGCATTGACTTATTGGATGCCAAAGTACAAAAGGCTCTGGAAACCATCGAAGAAGATACATTCAAGCCAAGTGCCTTCTTCAGCGCACGCGACCGAGAGCCACAGGAAAAGGACAAAGTAATTATTGACTTAAATAAGGAAACTATCATCGTACCCAAGCCAAGTGACGCTGTGCCCGCAAAAGAAGACGACATATTTCATCCCAATGTGAGTTTTTTTTTAGATTTATTTTCGTTTCCTATACTTTACAAATGTGTTTTCAGTTTTTGGGCGATACAGAACTAAAGGCAGAGAAGTGGCTCCGCAAACTTTACCATTACCGTCAAAAGTATATGGAGCAATAAGAGCGAACGTTAACAATTAATAAACAATAAAATATTACAAATGTCCTAAAAAATATCACTGCCAGTTTTACGGGCTCGCATCAGAGCTACCTCTGGTGTTAGTTGTTCATTTTCTGACGGTTCCTTTGAACTACCATCCGCTTCCAGCTTACCAGCTTTGTAGTCGGCCATGATCTTTTCCGAATAGACAGCGTTGAAGAGATCCAAGCTGGTGAATTCAGATTGAACTACTTCGGGTGCTTTGTACGACACATATGGCTTTAGCTTACAGCCAGTTAGATCTGGCACAATGATTTCGGGTATTTTCTCAGGTATTTCCACATATTGACCATTTATAGTGATGCCTGTATCTCGAACTCCTCGTTTCTGTATTGGAACCGGTGGATTGGCCATGGTCCGTTGCGCTTCCTTTACCACACGTGTTCCACGCTTGCTGTACACATTGAATTTGCGGAAATTGCGTTTGCCAGCCACAGGCGCAGTAGTACTGATAGCTCGTACATTGCACTTTACTGAAAGCGACAAAAGTTTAATACAGTTTTGCATTTCTTATATTAAAATCTGCTGGTTAAATAACAAATTGACCAAGTTGCAGGAAAAACAGCTGTTTTCCTTCGAGCAGCCAATCTAGCGAAATCTGGCAGCGTCTGTTTAGGCAACGATACGTATGAAGTCTGGCAGCGCTTCAGCTTAGTACTCTTCGAGTTAGTATAATTGTGAAATATTATTTAAATTAAGCTTTCTGCGTATTTAATATAAATTACTTCAAATAAGTCAAAAAGATTTCAAATAAGTATCATACACGCACCGGAATAGAAGCCATATCTTTCTTTCACAAAAATAATGACGTCTGAAGGTAAAGAAGTAAATGCAGTCATCCAATACTATCTAATTATTGTGTACTATCTGTTTCAGTCAGTAAGACATTCGATGAGGAATTTGAGGCATATTGGCGTAAAATATTCTGCATCACCCCAAGTGAAGATATTAAATGTGATGCGTCAGTACTAGAGTATTTTGGAGTTCTACGTTTAACAGACCTCCGAGCTCCGGAACGAAAATTGTGGTACATCTATTATTCCAAGCAACCAGAAGTCGATGAAACCCTAAATCGTATTTTTCACAAATACGGCAAAAAAAATATGTGTGAAATTTTTAGGAAACACACATTTAGTGGAGTTGCATTGCGTGCCAGAGTAAAAGCGTACTTTGATGATAAGAAATGGCATGTGAAAGGCAATTTGCTAGAGGCTCCAGCGAAAAGCTCCTTCAACAACGATCAAATGATTAAAACAATGACAGAACTGCACCATGAGGAACGTAGAATGCTTTATAGCTTCTTGTGTATGAAACATAATGGAGTCAGAAGTTACTTTTATTAATGGGATTCCAATTTTGAATCTTTTTATTTTATAAATCTGTGATTTTTATAGTTACATTTAAAATAACAAATTGTATATCCTGTTAAATTTTTTTTTAATAATAAAAATAAATTATATATTTATGATTGGTTTAAATTTATCCCTCTTGTTTTGCAGGATGTAAATTGTTTTTTCTTTTTTTTTAAGCTGATTTTGTTTAATAGTTTTAGGAATTCGCATTCTGCCATTATTTTCAAGATAAACAAATTTTCCTATGCAGTCTGGCAACACCTAGACGAGTTGAGTATCGATACTAGATCGCTGGCAGCTTTCGACCAACAAAATTTATGAAATTCACATTGGAGTCGAAGCTTTCCAAGTTTTTATATAAATTGCAATGACTACTTAGCTACTTGGGCATAGGCCAGCTAACCGTCTAATAACTGCACTCTTTTCACATATCAGACGAGAAACAGCGATTAACAAATAATGGCGTCAAATGGTAATTATAAACAAATCAACAAAAATAAACTGATTCAATCAAGGCATGATTTACTTTTCAGATATTGATTTTGATGAAGAGTTTGAGAAATATTTGCATCAGATGTTCCATATTAAGCCACGTGATGTGGAGTCCAAATGTGATGAATCAGTTGTTGAATATTTTGGAGTCCTAAGTCTAACTGACATCCGATCTCCGGAGCGGAAATTGTGGTATATCTATTATTCCAAACAACCAGAAGTCGATGAAACCCTTAATCGTATTTTCCATAAATACGGCAAAAAGAATATGTGTGAAATATTTCGGAAGCATACGTTTAGTGGAGTTGCATTGCGTGCCAGAGTAAAATCTTATTTTCAAGATAGAAAGTGGCATGTGAAAGGCAATTTACTAGAGGCTCCCGCGAAGAGCTCCTTCAATAGCGATCAAATGATAAAAATAATAACAGAGCTGCACCATGAAGAACGTAGAATGCTTTATAACTTCTTATGTATAAGACATAATGAAATGCGGAAGTACTTCTCTTAATGGGGTACATATTTGGTATCTTATTATTTGAAAAATCTGTGATTCATATGTGTACAATCTCTTGTTATTGATCTATTTAAGAAAATTAAGTATTAAGGAAATAAAAGTAAAAGCTTCTATACTTGTCAAATGTTCACTTAAGAAATTGATAAAGGTATTAACCGGCTACAATAATTTAATCAGCTGCTTCACATTTCTAATAAATTGATACATCTTGGAGAGTCTTAACTGCCTATTATATATTAGTGCAAATGCCAAAAGCTGTTATAGTTAAAAATCAAGAGCCTGTCTATCCTGAGCAAATAAATATATTCTATTAAAGATACAAAATTTTATAATTTATTGTTTTGTTTACGAAATCACAATTAGATTTAAGCTCAAAATAATTCTAGCGCAGTCTGGCACCGCTACCGCGTATCGATACCGATTTAGTAGCAGCTTTTGGCCAACATGAACAAACATTCAAGTCGAAGCTTTCCAAATATTTCACATAAATTGAAATGACGACATTGGCTATTTAAGCTCCAGCAAGATAAAAATCAAATAAGTCCAATTTGAGTATCGAACGAGAAACATACATAGTTTAGTTCCCTGCCAACGTAAATAATGGCGTCAAATGGTAAATAGAAAAAAAAAAAAAATAGACTCTAGAATATAAATACAATTTATTTTTCAGTTGCTAATTTTGATGATGAGTTTGAGAAATACTTACACCGCTTGTTCTACGTCACGCCAACTGAAGAGACATCCAAATGTGATCCCTCAAATATTGAGTATTTTGGGGTACTAAGTCTTACTGATGTGCGTTCACCTGACCGCAAATTGTGGTACATTTATTATTCCAAACAGCCAGAGGTCGATGAAACCCTTAATCGTATTTTCCATAAATACGGCAAAAAGAATATGTGTGAAATATTTCGGAAACCAACGTTCAGTGGCGTAGGATTACGTGACAGAGTAAAAAGACATTTTCAAGATAAGAAATGGTATGTGAAAGGCAATATTTTGGAGGCTCCACCAAAAAGTCCTTACAACGACGATCGTATGCTTAAAATGATAACTGAATTGTATAATGATGAGAGAAAAATGCTCTACAACTACATTTGCATGACACACGATTCGTTTATTAAATACCACTCATAATTAGGTGTATAATATCTTAATATTTACATATTCTGTGATTCATATATAATGTACAATAAAATTAACAAATTTTCCAACTATTAGTTACCCTATTTACGTAGTCATATAAAAAAGAGCCTGTTATGAATATATTAAATTTATTGTATATTATGTTAATAATTATAACATATTGTCTACAACTTTAAATATATTATTTAGAACATTGTATGTTATTGGTTGAGACAATCAAATGCAAGGAAAAATACCACAAACTGTGTAAATCATTCTTTGTATTAATTTTTTGAATATCGATATCGAAAATATTGCAGCCCTGCATGAGTTCTGCGTGCCTTGCTAGTCGACATTGAATTCGAAGCGGATAAACTATAATAATAATAAAACGTATTGGTTAATTTCAATATTTTCACGCCTAATAAGATGGTAAGCATGGATACAAATGTCCCACTTTACGGATCTAACTAAAAATGTTCCCGACATACGCTACATGTTTGTACGTACAATAGTCCACAGGGCTCGTGAACGTGAGGGCAAAGGATTGTTTACATTTACATCGGATTGATAAGCACAAATGCGGTTACAGGTATGCGCGTTAAGCAGCATATGTATGTGTAATATTGCATACAGTCAAACATGACAAATGTCTTTCAGTTCTAGCAATTCATACTCTTCTTCGTCGGCGTCCTCGGACAGTTCTCGTTCCCGTCAGCTTCGGTGAGTATCGAATGAGAAATTGAGTATCGAGTGAAGATTGACAGGAGCATCTCAGCAGGCGAAATATTTTGGCTACATATTAAACTGTCAACAGAAATCTTTCATTTGGTTTAGCCTTTCAAGTGAGAAGGTTCTTTCCTCAGTTTTTGCCAAAAAAAAAAAAATAAAAAAAATATAAATAATTCATTTCAAAATGTAAGAAAAAGATAAAACAAACTGTTTACATTTCAGAACAGCGCATTCCCAATGCTGATAGAAGAGAAAGCAAGTCTGTTTCTGAAATGCAATGTGGTGAATCATATACAAATCTTAAAGCAGCTCAATTCTCAATTAGTCAAGTGTCGAAATCCGAATCACACATTTTTACAATCAAGATGCACTGCCAGCAACTGAAAATCTAACCTATTCCCATTCAAGGTCGGACGGTGAAGTCTATGAGAGTCGTCATCACAACTACAATTCAAAATCGAATTCTCAACATCGTCGGCGCTCACGCTCTGGGTCAGATTCGCCTGTGCGTCATTATTCAAGGCGGACATCTCGCGATCGTCAGCGCATGCGTCAGGCACGCGTAAGTTGCACCAATCTTAAATCAGTTTCTGATGTTAAGCGTTCATGGCAACATCCTGTCACAGGATCATCCACAGGCTAGCCGCTGCATTGGAGTTTTTGGCCTAAATACGAACACCACCGAGCAGAAGGTGCGCGAATTGTTTAATAAATTTGGACCCATTCAACGTATTCAGATGGTTATTGATGCTCAAGTATGTTAAATTGTTAAGTCTAAACTAATTTAGAAAAATGCCATAATCTGTCTGTGGACAACTTGGAATTTAGCCTTTTCCAAGTGCCTTCTTTCTTGGCTATATCATATATAAGTACAGCAATAATGAGTGTTTGCTATGTGAGTTACTAGCAATTCACTAAAGGCTTGTTGTAACAGCCATATTTAAGTTTTAATCTTTATTAATCTTTGTATTAATTATTAATACAATATGTTCATAAGTTTAAAAATCGGCTAATATTGGACTCTCCAACTAGTAATAAAATTTGAAGATGAATATAATATGTATATAATATAT